CCTAGAGCTACTCCTAGAGCTACTCCTAGAGCTACTCCTACTAGAGCTACTTCTAGAGCTACTTCTAGAGCTACTCCTAGAGCTACTCCTAGACCTAGACCTAGACCTAGACCTAGTGCTACTAGTGCTTTATGATTCTGCTTGTGATTCTGCTAATGGTACTGATAGCTAGTGCTGTTACTGTTGTAGATACTGGTGACAAGAGTATAGCAAATTGATTGTCTTCTTGCATTTATCTTTGTTGAGCATTGAGTATTTACTATCAGGAACATCCATAGATTACAAGTGTCAGTTCTAATACTAGTATGTAATAGTGGTCTTGAGCTTACTGGGTTCAATTCCCCATCATACATGACATACTACAAGCAGGCAATGCAATCACTACAGTAATGTCCTAAGTAGCCTAAAACAAGACAGAAGGGTACAGAAAATGATAGTTATAACAGGAGGCCCAACAGTAGATCAGTAGCATGTACTGGGGACAAACACCTGTGAAGAACTGAAACAACAAGAAGTTAGTACATTCAAAGCAGACATAAGGCTGGCCCAATGCATAAATCTCATCAGCATTACTGGTGCTTCAGTACTGTTGCAACAGGAGATCAGTAGCATGAACTTGGGGCAAGTACCTGTGAACATGTTCTAAGCAGGCATCTAGCTACCCCAATGCAATGGATCTTCAGTCCTGTTCCAACAGTAGATCAGTAGCATGTACTAGGGGCAAGTACCTGTGAAGAACAGAAACAACAAAAAGTTAGTACGTTCTAAGTAGGCATGCAGCTGGCCCAATACAATGTTCTTAACACAATGAGTTGAAACAGGTTTCTCTGTAACCATTCTCTGATATAGAGTATGCAAAGAATATAAGACATAAAATTTTGAGCTGGCTCTTCTATTCCAACCCCAGCCACACAACATTTCCTATCTCAATAATCAATGTCAACAATGTAGTATATGCTGAACATAACTGTTTTAGCCTTTCACTTTCTTACAAGAATGTGCAGTCCAAAACAGTAAAATTCATATCTTTTTGTGCTGAACACCATATCCTGCATGAATAACTCCACCTTTCTTCACAGCATAAAATGTTCCTCTTCTACAGCCAACTGCTTTTGCAGATATGAACTTAAAGTCATCATCTATTGCTTATTTTTTCTGGACAATCATCTTTGGGAATGACACCAAATAAGTGACCAAGTCTGCCCTTTAACTTTTGATTGAACTCCTCAATCATGACTGGTATTTGCAATAATTTGTTGATTAAATCATCAGAGGGTTCAGTCCATTTCATTTGTTCCTCTCTTCAACAGTTTCAGTGCTTTGTTAAGTCCAACTTTCTCCTTTTGCTGAGGCTGGAACACCTTTGTAGAAGCTACTCCAGGTGTAAGAATCATTCCAAACTGAACTTGCTTGGCATCCGTCACATCTAAGTGAGGAGTCTGGTCAACTCAGCTCCCACTCCTCCTCAGACAAAACCTGTGACTCCTATCTGGATATTTTTTTTTACATAGTTCAATAATGTTTGGAGCTCTTTCATGTTAAGGTTTGACCACTTTCTCTTTGCTTTTGGAAATTTTACTGGAATCAAAATCAAGAATAACCACGCAAGAAAAAGATAGCCCCTAATCTACAGCTATTGTAGATCATATTATTCAGTTTGATGCTTTTGTGCTTTTTACAAAAAGGGAGGTGCTGATTTTTGATTATATTGCAGAGGGCAGTGCTGGTTGGTGGTTGGTGGTTGGTGGTTGGTGGTTGGT